GGCACAGTAGATTCTTGCTAATGCCCATTAGGAGCACTAGGAGGAGCCAGAGGAACCTGATTTTTTCACAGATTATCTGTCTCATGTACTGCTGTCAGGATATAGTGAAAGATTCAGCAAATATGACACAGAAAGTTAATTTTATTAAAGTTGTGTCTCTAACAGAGAGAGTGGAATCTGTTGCACACGTTGCCTGCCAATAAATAAACAGTTGTCAAGTGATACTAATTTTAATACTTAATATAAAATGTTGCTAAGAATAGTCAATACTGCTTCCAGTGATTGGTGACTGGCTCTAGAAAGCCTGATCGGGACACCCTTATTGGATGTGGCCAAATTCTGCGCTGACGCCAGTAAGTGAAGAAATTCTTTGCTTCAGTGCAACCAATGTAAAACATTAGTCTGGAGGCCTAAATAAACAAGTGAGAGTAGTGTGAGATTAACTTGTGCGACAGGACTACAAAGTGTCTGAAATTAAGCATTTAGTGGACTTACTTTCTGACGTCAGATTCTGGGAATGACTTGCTTACTGAATCCCTCAAAGCAGAGAGTCAGCACATTTTTAATGGACACATTGTCATTTCAGCTCAACAATAGACCTTCTTGGCGCCGAAACGCAGCGACTGCAATGGAATCAAAAAAGCTCAGACAGACGCTGGCAAAGAGACAGACCCTTTAATGCCTGCAGAGTTTCACCATGGATTGTTCCAAGTCACCAGTGAGAGATGGAGTGTGAAAGACTGAGTGCGCTCCCTGATCCCTGCTGGTTTACATAATGTGATGTCCAGCCACCACATGACCATCGAGGATTGCCGGGGATTACGCAAGAGTGGATGGCTGGATTCAGTGAAGACAGATAGATAGACGTCTGACTGCTCTGCCCTCTGACTTCTGAACACACTTCATCCACTAAAGAGTATTCAGAGAATTCAAACAAAAGCTTAGCTACATGTCAGTGAGACTGTATAATCTCACTCATTCATTCTCTCATGAGCATTATCTGGAAATAGCCTCCAGTTTGTCTGACGTCAAAGCAGTGATGGTGGAAATCAAATTAAAATCTGATGTGTTTGGTTAATTATACTTTTTTTTCTTCACAAGCAAAGGCACAAATCGCTAGGGAGTGACTGATGCAGGGAGAGATAGGAGACACACATACAGATGGACTGTGGGAGTTTACAGTACACAGTCAGATATGAGACAGAGAGAAAGAACATTTCTTCAATTCTGTAGTTTTTTTAAATCTCTCATTTGACAGAAGAAGAGGAACCTGCATGGAGTCACAGTGATGTATTGATACATTAGCTGCAACTACCATAACACAGCTAAATCTCTGACCAAACTGTTGGCCAGTTAAAGTTGCATTGTGGCTAATGTCAGGAATTAACAAGGAAGAAGATTGTGTGGATTAATAAAGATGATACCTCTGAGTATATCTTTTCCAAGCATCCATCATCAGTCTAAAAATGTTATCGGAGTGCAACGCTAAATTGGTGGCCTAGTCGTATAAGGCTCTAACCCACCAAAATGAGCACATATTGTCAGTTTTTTTAAATGCAGAAAAACACCCTAAAATAGACAACAGTCCAATGTGTCACATTCGACAACAGGGTTAGTAAACACTATAATGCAGCATTTGTTACTTGCTTTGAGCTGCAAGCATTGCCTCTTTCACTCAGCATTTTTGATATGTTGTTGTCTATCTCACTGTCTCTCACAGTGCAAGTAGTCTCGCATTGCCATCCTGTCTCCTCAGTACTGTGTCAGCTTTCCAGGTTTAAGTGGATAAAGTGTCAGTGACCTGTCTCCTTATTTCCTCTTCCCCCCAAAATCAGGAGAAGCTCCCTCACATCGGTGTCTTCCCAGTGTTGCATCTTAAACAATATTCAGAACAAAATCACTGTTGCATGCTCATCTCGTAGACTGGAAAAAACAAAAAATTACGTTGAACTTGCATCAACATTGCACCAGAAATTAGCTAAAATTTGTGTCCACTGCAGAGTCATTTGACTCAGGAATGAATGTTGATTGTACCCTTTCCCACTGACAACAAAAGCCAGATGTTAGTGGGTTTTTTTGTCCACTGTGAAAGGAGCTTTACAGTTTGTTCATAGTTGGGATGAACATATACACTATTATCTGTGACTGCTCAACCAACTAAAGTATCTGTATTTGTATATTAGTACTCGTGATGGCGCTTAAACCAGAAGTGGGTGCGATTAAGCAGAAGTTGTTCATTCAAGCTTGAAATTGATATTGATCAAAAGTTTCTATATTTATTAGAGAACTATTTACACAATAGAGCTTCAGAGCAACGTTTTTGATCACAAGAGTAAGAGAACTATTTACAAAACAAGTTTTTTTT